CAGCAGCAAGTAGAGAATATTCTAATATTGTACAGTTATTAAGTGAAGATGATCCAAATACTTCAGTTCATGTGAGTCAGCATTTTATTAACTTCACATTTCTATTTGTTTTTAGCCATTTTAGTTACAATGTACTTTAGCACTCCCACTTGTAAATGTACATTGGATATATTTAGTTTTAGTATATATACTGTATTATGATGTTTACAGATGGTGATGAATAAAATGGCGTATGTGATACTGGACCTAATAAGAACTCAGCAGTAGTAATAATGATGGGAAATATTGAATACACAGTGGCTTCACTTCATGACAGTACCATATAACTTGAAATATTGGCAGGGAAGGTGTGATAAACAACCACCAATATAAAATCTGTCATTTAGCTCATTCTAACCACATGCAGCCACTAAAATTATTGCCAATGTAAAATTTGTCAATTATAAATTTATTAGCAAATCGCCAAATACAACCCATCAATATTTCTGACTGTGGTTACTGTGTGGTATTTAACTTACTGTATGATTCATTGTAGAATAAGGAGTTATATGAAGCTGCTAAAAGAGGTGATTCTACTGGTGTCCAGTCTGCACTGTCTCAAGGGGCTAATGTAAACTATCAGAATCCTGAAAAGGTAACTACTGCAGTATATGCATACATGTACATGTACAGCATGCTGTTATGTTGATAGCCTGCTGCCCTTGGACATGGGTCAGGTATAGATACATGTACATGTACGGTGTACATGCATGTATGTATTATTTGGTGGCGTCATTTTACAATTCACTTGGTACAATGTACATGTACATGTAGTCAATGTACATGTAGTACATAATAACACTGATCACTGTAGAAATATTAGCAAGTCATTAGTCATGGCTACTTTCGATGTTAGTAAAGAGTTAATATTATCTGATTGTTATGGGAGAAAATCTATCGGTTGCAATTTAATATTATTCCAATATTTTCAGCTGTACTACATGTAGTACAGTACTTTATGTTTTTGTAATAGACTGACATGTACAAACGTTAATTGTCTTAATTTTGTTTCTTATAGTATGGAACTACTTCTCTTCATGTTGCTGCAAGAGGAGGATATCATGATGTTGTACAAATTTTATTGTCTGCAGGAGCTGATGTGGACCTCAAAGATGCAGTGAGTATACTGGATTGTACTTACTTTAATATGTTAAAATCACATCAGCATAGATTGGGTATTTTCCACAGTAGAATAATTTTGCCCATTAAAAAAAATAATTTGACAAAGAGACTTTTTAAAATTTATAATTAAGTTGCAAAAGTAGTGGAAGATTATCCCATTACACCTTGTGATTTTAATGTACATGTACATTTACATTTTATGTGCATGTGTGAAGTTAGTAGTATGTACTATATGTGCATGTACATGTATTCATGTACTGTGCATGTACATGTAGTTACACAGCATATACCAGTTTATTTTTGCAACTTTCACTGTTTCTTGCTCAGTCACGAAATTTTTCCACCACAAAATTCTGCATTTCCATTGCCACATGGTGCAGTCTC